AATATAATATAATATACAATATAATATAATATAATATAATATATAATATAATATAATATAATATAATATATATTATAATATAATATATATTATAATATAATATAGAATATAATATAATATACAATATAATATAATTTACAATATAATATACAATATAATATATAATATAATATAATATAATAAAATCTTATAATATAATATAAAATAATATATATTATATGGTATGGTATATTATATTATACCATATAAAAAAAGTAGTATAATATAAAAAGTGTTATAATATAATAATAATACGATGTCATACATAAAACAATATTTATAAAGTAATATAATATATAAAATAATATATATAAAGTAATAAAATATATATCATAATATAATGTAATACATAAAATAATGAAATGTAATGTATAATATATAAAATAATATAATATATTATATTATAAATAATAATACTACATTTTATTATAAATATAATAATAATATAATAAATATAATATAATATAAATATAATATAATATATATTAAATAATGTAGTGTGTAAAATAATATAATTAATGTGTAAAATAATATTAAAAAATATAATATAATATAATGTGATGTATATAATATATATATAATATAATGTGATGTATATAATATATATATAATATAATGTGATGTATATAATATATATATAATATAATGTGATGTACATAATATATATATAATATAATGTGATGTACATAATATATATATAATATAATGTGATGTATATAATATATATATAATATAATGTGATGTATATAATATATATATAGTATAATGTGATGTATATAATATATATATAATATAATGTGATGTATATAATATATATATAATATAATGTGATGTATATAATATATATATAATATAATGTGATGTATATAATATAATATAATATAATATAATATAATATATAATAATATGTTACATTTACAGTATACAGTAATTAAAAAAATAACAAAGCTTTTTGGTTTTTAGGTATATATTTCAAGATATTAACAACTTCTCACAATCATAATTGTTCTAATAATATGAATCTTCACACATTCCAATATTTTTAAAACTATTTATTATTGAATCGTTTTTAATACGAGATAGCAAATATGCAGAATTTTGATCTAATTGTAATTAACTTGATAAATGTGATAACTAATTCCTTTGATAATGTGTAGAAAATGCCTTATGGAAGTATTGAAGGGAATCGTATTGATTTCCACATCATTTATTGTTAAAACAAATTGCGGGTACAAATGACTTCCATTTATTATGTAATTAGTATATGCTCTAAAATATAATTTTAATAGCTTTCACGAAATATTCTCCTTTTCTTATTGTCAAAGTTTTCTCAGACAGTTTTTAAAAATTTATTCATGTGATTTTGCATTCAGCACGAAAAACTTACTAGGATTTAAAAAATAGAGTTTGATAATAGAGTGTAAAATGTAGTTGAGTAGTCAAGGAAACGAGCCCATGGTTCCTCGGTAATCCGGCAAGTTGGTGACGTTCGAGTACTACAAATTTACATAAAATTCTATCACTTTACCACGTTCGTCTGAGTATCTCTATTTATATGTAACATAAGTATTTTTTTTAAAAAATTTAAAATACAGTTGTGTGTTTTAACAATCGTTGTTTCTTTATGTGTTGATATTTGGTTGAACATTAATATATTATTTTAAAATTAATTTATTTTTTAAAATCATTTTAATTTTATATTAAATGTATATTTAGTATATAATAGCACTATAAATTTGTATATAATATTGTAATATAATAATAAATAAAATATTTTTATATGTAATAATAGTATTATTGTTGTAAATAATAGTGCTTTTTATAAATGCATACAAATAATTGATATTGTTTTAGACATTATTGTTCTTTTCTTGTTGTAAACACAATAAATTAATAGCACAGCAAAACGTTTTTAATAATATAATGTTATTTGTAATATAGCAAGAATCGATAAATTTTTCTAATCAATGTATAATCGCTATTGTGAAGTTATACAGATTCCATGTGCTCAGCTATTTCAAGTATAGGCCTTTCCCTTAGAGGTTTAATTAATGTTTGCCAATTTTGAGAAATAAGGGTTGGCGGTGGCGATGGCTTAAAAATAAAAATGTATTAGTTAAAATGTATAATAAAAAAAGTAATCATCTTACATTTAAAAAACTTGAAATTCGTCCCATATCCAATCTGTTTGATTTTTTCAAATGACATGCGTTCAATGCTTGTGGCAACGAATTCCATTTCTCCGAACTAATTCTGTTAGATACTGGGCATTTTATGGTTAAAACAGGAGTGATCTGTGATTGCTGGTTTATATAGGATGTTTTTAAAATAGTGTTCGCAGATTGAAGGTTGTGGGCAATAAGTGGAGGCGATGTTAGATACTGTTGAAATTTGGTTCTACTCCCAAACGCATTTACATTTTGGAAAAACTCGTCTTTCGGGGATGATACCAAAGACACGCTTTGTAGTTGGTGGTTTGAAAGCTTGTAGTTCTGTTCTCGAATTATTGCTTGTTGTTGGTTTGGATCAAGGGTAAACCGTTTCTGGAATAACTGTTTTTTTTGTTGCAGAAGTCGATACTGGAAGAGTTGTTGTTGCAATGGTATTTTATGAAATGCAAGTGAGTTAACATTGCAGAACACGTCTGCTCCACTTGTCTGAACATACTGTGTTCCAGACTGGTACGTAGAATCAAATCCCTTTAAATTTTGACTGGTTGGGTTAAATATACTGCTTTTATTACTAAAATGTTCATGTTTACGATAAAAATGTTGATGGTTTTGTAAGTCCATTGATATCGCATTTGACATTGTAAGGAATTGGCTTTGCTTAAACTGAGAATTGTTTAAATCTTCAGTTTGCAAATATGGTTTATATTTTGAACTTAGAGACTTCGCTTCTTTTTGCAACTGTAACTCTATCCAAGCATTGTGCTTTTGAGCATCATAATTATAGCTACCATAAGCTGAATTGACGGTACTAAAATATGTCAGTGAGTTCATCATGCCTTGAGCAACAAAGCCATCACTTGCACGACGTCGTTCCCTTTATTTGTAATAACAGAAAAATAGAAGTAGTTAATAAAAACAAACAATTTAAAGAATTAATACTAAATTAATACTAAAATACATCTCACATCAACGAAGAGAAAGAAAGAAATAAAGCACTGCTTAACAAAACAATATTTGAGAATATAAAAATAAGATAGTTTTGTTTTTGCTGAACTTTTTCTATTCTTTACACAACTAATCATATTACAATTCCATATATCATTAGGGCTTTTCTTTTATAAGCATGTCGCCAAAGAACAAATAAAATTAGCATTACTCTCGATGGCAACTCTGGTCAGTATGAAAAATTTGTTAGGCTAATATATGCAAAACACGTAATAAAATTTTATGTTAAAATTTTGAAAATGAGTAATAACTCTTTGCAATTATTGGTAGGAATATTTTTTTTACATGATTGTGAATAAAATATGAATTTTTGTGCCTTTTAACATTAAATAATAAATAGAAAACGTAACGTATTTGTTACGAACAATGTAAATACACGAAATACGAATAATTAACGAAATCATTCGTTGACTGTTAACTGAAAATTTTGTATGTATTTCCAAAAATCGTTCACAATAGACGAATTTTTAGCCTTGGCAACCATTCGACTTGAGTTTCCAATGTTATTTTTAAAATGAACGGTTGCTCTTTTGTGATATGCTTACAAAAGAAAAGGCCTATTAATAGATATTTTAACATCTAGTTAATTACTGGTTAACTCCTGGTTAAAAATTTTAGTTACTCTGTAAATTCTTAATGATAATTTTTTTTTTTTTCGTGAAAGTAGTTATTATTAGTTGCAGAAAAAAAAAATTTGTTAAATAAAATATTAGTAGCATTAAGACATGCTTGGTAACTCAGTACAATGATTTTTTTTTTGTATATGCTTCTTTGAAATACCATTGTTAAAGAGTTAAAGAGTTTAAGCAACGGTCTGAGGCTGATTTCTGAATTTGCGACGCAAACAATATCGTGCATAGCACCTGATTCCCTCACCCCGATATTCACGAGAGACAGCCGAATTCTTCACTGCTCAACTCTCTACACGATTAAACAACCTCTGTTCAGTCCCGATAATGCCGATAGACAGTGGAAATATACTCCTTACGCACAACTACGGAAGATGTCCTACCTGAGGAATTGTTTAAGGCCGACGGCGATATGCTGATAGGGTTCATGCATCAGCTTATCTGCAGAATATGGTTGGTTGAAATTATGCCCAGCGAATCTCAGTACCTTTTGTCCTGTTTTGAAAAAGGACAACTGTACTGTGAGAAAGGTTGAAACCACATGACAACTCACTGATTGGACTTTATCAGTGGGGCTTTCGATCCGATCGCTCTACCATTGACCAAATATTGACACTGCGATTAATCTTGGAAAACGGCTACGAACATACCACCTTTTTATCAATTATAAAACAGCTTTCGATAACTCCAGTAGGAAAAGCTTTTACGTCGCAATGGGTGAGCTCGGCATCCCTGCAAAGTTCATACAACTCTGCGAGGCTCTTCGTAAGATCTTTGATCCCCTACATTTTGGCGACGACTACCACATTCGAATGAACCACGACCTGTACGAGCTTTATCACGACATTGATATAATTGAGTGAATTAACGTCCAGCGGATTTGCTGACTTGGTTGTGTCATGAGAAAATTTAAAGAAACTCCAGCGAAAAACGCTAATAGTTGGAGGAAGAAGGTGTAGAAGTAGACCGTGTCTCCTGTCGAGTGGTCGAGGGAGCATTGACCGGAGTTGATGTACTAGATAGTGACGTCTGGAGAGACATGCTGCATCAGGCCGAAACCCGGTAGCGGCATGTCATGTAAGTAAGTAAGTATTATACAACAAAACAAAAATAGAATCATCTGCTTTGGCAGTTTGGTTTTACCACTTTACTGAGAAAGAATTAAAAAGAGATTGAAAGCACAAAAAGAGATTGATAAAACAAACTTTTGTTAGAATAAATAAATTGTTAATGTAACATTGTATCAAACAAAAAATAACAGATTGCATATTTGTATATGTAGTAGACTTGCTTCATAATAATTATTTATTCTTGGGAAATATGAAGTTTACAAACTGGTTGTCACTTATTGACAAAACAAAAACAACAGTTTCGTCTTTGTAATTATTTAAAACAAGCTTTTAAATGAAAACAGGGTTTCAAAGTAACTACTAAACTTTTAAAAAGAGAACGCATTTTATAAAGAACTGTGTCTCAGAAAGGGTTGGTGTCATCACTTTATGTGATCTCGTTGTAGATTACCTAAAAGAAGGCTATAAATTAAATTAAATAAAAAAATTATAGTTAACACTAATCATTTTGTTTAAATACACAAAACATCAAAGTCATCTCAATAATGCCAAAAATGAATGCCACACCACCGAACGCTCCAGCAGGTGTAAGTGTACCAACAGGCTGCGGTGCGAAAAGAATGTGAAAGGAAACATCGTCTGAACACCAGGAAAGTATGGTATTCAAAAATTCAGTGGGTAATATGCAGCTATCAAATCATCACTTTGTTCAATAATGTGTGTGACTAACTAATTAAAACACATTTTTTTACCAAAATTCGTTTTTATTCATCAACATAGTCCTCTTTTAGGGAGATACAACCATTCCAACGCTTTTGCAATCTTTCGATACCGCCTTTGTAAAACGATTTTTCTTTGCCTTCAAAATAGGCGTTAGTTTCGGCGATTACTTCATCATTTGAGCCAAATCTCTTACCACGATGTATCTTTTTGAGGTCTGCGAAGAGCCAGTAGTCGCTGGGCACCAGATCTGGAGAATACGGTGGGTGCGGCAGCAATTCGTAGCTCAATTCGTTCAATTTTGCCATCGTTTTCATCGACTTGTGACACGGTGCATTGTCTTGGTGGAACAAAACTGTTTTCTTCGCCATATGAGGCCGTTTCTTTGCGATT